AAACAAGCGTTTGAGTTGTCAGTTAGTGCCTATGTTCGGAATTGACAGATTTTACAATAGTTAACAACATTTTTTCCGATTTCCTGGTTTTTGCGATAGTTTTTATTGGTCTCTGTGCCAACCAGAGAGTTCTTTATTTACTATCAAAGACTGAGATATGAGGATAGACGCTATTTAACTGACGCTTCGTGCATTGCACTAGGTGGATTACCGAAAACGCAAGCAATTTTAAAATTTTTCTATATCAATTTGTTCTTGTTAACATTTTTGCTTAATCCGTCACCCAGAACATCACCAATCTGAATGTTATTCATTCGGATTTAAATAACCATGGGTAAGATTGCTGCTATCGCCAGACATTCCTCCACGCTGAAGTTTCTCTTATTTTATTATTTCACCTAGACATGCGTTCTTCTGAGTAGTCTTTTCAACTCCTCTGTATAATAAACGCTACGAAATTATAAAGTTTGTGTTTTTGCTATGTAGGGGAAGATCGTCGCAGTTTCAGTTTCAGGATTTGACGCCAGTGCGGTAGCAAAGGAAATTACGAACACTTGTGATTCTGACTAAAATAACATGCAGAAGGAAGCTTTTTCGATTACAAAAGTGAGCAGATGGACCAAAAGACTCAGTTTAGAAGAACCATAGGAGATTATTTCAGCCAGTGCCGGACGTCATAGGTTGATGAGTCTTGGAAACCGACCAGTTCAGAAACCAACGGGAAAGACATCTAATACTTCACTCATTCTAATGATAAAGAGTTCGTAGACAAATGCGGGAATATTCGCTTTACTTTGAGCAAATATATCAGCTAGATGCCCAGATATGCGTTTGGTAGACTTTATACCACTGCATAAGGCAGCTGCTATGGAGCCTGCTCATTAATGGGACTCCTTAATTTGCTCCTGTGTTTTTATCACGATTGACGTGTGTATGCTATGGATCGCCCGTCGGTAACATGGGAATATTTCGCTTTTATTCCGCCAAACCGATGGATTTCAGCTTGGTTGCATATGGCAACTTAAAATGAACCTGAAAAAGTTTGTATCGAAAGATATTCTTCCTGGTCGTGCACTAATTTTGGGGAAAATTAAAAAGTCCAACAGTAATCACATAACCGACGTAATATATCGTGCAAGCAATTGTGCCCCGTAAAGAAAAATTTGGTCACTGTTACAAAGGAAGGGGATCGTTCTCTACCCCAATGGTTCTCGCGTCCACATTGCAAATTGCAGAGGATATGCTGGAGAACATTGAAAAAGCATCTTCTTCCTTCATACTGCCATTTTTACCATAGGAGTTGCAAAATCCTTTGGTAGGTAAAAGTTGACATTCAGAGACAAAAATGACGATGGTCGGTTTCTTATTGCCCTTCCTCAAACTCCGTTAAATGTTATGAACAAGCATCATTAATTCTGCTGAAATGTGAAATCAAGTTGTAAAAATAAGCAAAAAAATGTGTGGCTGTATGCATGAACCTTATTCTCATTGTTTATAATTAAAATAAAGTAAATGGTTATCTGAACACAATTAATAAGGTTGATTCAACATGAAATTAGCACCAGTGCTGTAGAAAGACCTTTAGGTTTCACAGTGAATGGTAAAATCCTGGTTCACATTTTTAAGTTAGTTTATGTTTAAGCCTAAGTGACAGATTTGCGAGCAGTTTATTGCGTAAACCTAAACTGTGGACAACTAATCGTATTCATTAGAACCAGATAAATGCTTATTGTTTCCAGTATTATTTTTATTACTTCAATACATGGCTTTGTTACACGTCTGACTTCCGACAAATATGCGCATAATTATATTACACGGGCACTATAATTTTCAATTTTTTACAAAGTTTAATTAGTGGAAAAATGGATTATATGCAGAAGAGTAGTGCAAGCCGTGGCTAGGCAGCAATTTCAACACATCTAAGTGTTATTTTAGCAAGTTAAAAAAGGGGCATTTGAAGGCTTACTTGATATATAAGTATCAGTATTTTCTAAATGGATCCGTACTATCTGAAAACCTATTTGTCAGCTCAATGTCTTGTTCATAACCTACAGTAGGTGAGCTAACTAATGAAATATCAGTCGAAACTTCGAAATCTGTTCCGGTTTCTTGAGGAGTAATTAAGTAGGGTTTTAAAACTAATCATCATACGGCATAATACTATAATAATCCGGTTACATCAGAGTGTAGGCTTTCGAATGGTTTTCTTTTTGACTGTATGCAAGAGCTGTACTCTGCGAAAAATGACTACTTACGTAGCATGCAATTTTTTCATTACTTTTCAATGTCCTGAATAATTCAATTACTTTTCATGGAAAGCATGAATAAAATATTCGTTCTTTAGCTCTTTCGGTTGCAAATGGCGTCTTCTTCCAATTTTATACTCGAAGGAAGGGTATGATTCGGTTTTCAAAAACTTCCAGGCGGGATGGTAGTTGGTTACCCTGCCTGTTAACGATCCTTTCCTGCACTTCCAGTTTAAGGCACTACGATTTCAGTAGCTGTGATTACGTTCTCAATATGGCTGGGAATGCACGCGCAGAAGCCCTGTCAGGGTGACTTTCTTGTTCACTTTAACCGCCCCGAGAACGAGGCGCTGCAAAAATGCCTATATAGATTCATCGTATTGCACCCCCCACACGTAAATCTTTAGTAAAGGGCGAAAGATTTATCCTAGGTGGATTATGATTCATTATGCTTCTCGTTACCATCCTAGGCGGATTGGCGCGGGTCTCCGTTTTGTCGGTTTGCCTGCGTCCTTGGGTCTTTTTACTCCAGACCTCCTGCAGAGTCCGGCGTGATCGTGTAAGAAAAAGACAACCGTCGCGCAGATAGGGTGTCTATCGATTCTCCACTAACGTATAGCACACAACTACTGCCATAGTTTGAATTTTAAGTGTGGCCACAGTGACAATAAACTATTATTTGCGGATTTTCTCTTCCGCCCAAACACATTCTTAACATTAAATTCTTACCCCGCTGGCGTTATGCCGTCCTGCGTGCCGCTGCTTAATTCTCGTGTTCTCATGTCCATTCTGTCGGTTTGAGTACTATCGCACATACTGCGGAATGACCTTAAGACACACTGCCTTCTTCCCGTTGGTTGCTCACCTTCAGTTGCTATTCTTTTCAGTCTGGGGTAAGGCTGCATTTATTCCGCATACCGTTCTAATTAACCATGCACATTTCCATACCCTTCTTGCATTTTACACCTTATTTAAATTAGGCTTTCACTTTGGCAGGAGCGTAAATTCCAGGCATACACTACCAGCGCCATTGACGCCTCCACTCATTTGTCCCACCCGTATAGCCCTTATTACCACCGGTCCCGTAAGACAGGTAGCTGGGCGTTTTCGACGTCGGGAGGGCTACCAACTACCATCGAACCCTTTTCCAATTCCCGAACAGTTTTGAACCCGACCTGCCGATACACTTGCATTCAGGGTTTCCAACCTACAATCCATATATTTTCTGCGTATGGAACACCATACATTTCTCAACAGTATTAAGAGAATACCATGTGGTGTTCATAAAATAAAGCAGTGGATTTTAGCCATATTTTTGAGTTTACAAGCCACATTGGTAAATGCATAGACATGACGTTTTATGAATGGTTATTTCACAGTTCTAAAGATCGCACAATTAGAAATTTTTTTACAACCGAATTACTCTTCCTTCGAGTGTAAATTTGGAAGAGTTCGCCATTTTCTACCGAATGAGCAGAAGGATGAATAGGCTTATATATGGTTTCCATAAAACAATTGAATTTTTAAGGGCATCGAAAATCAATGAGAAAATTACATATACCTAATTAGTCCTTGTTTGCAGTGTACAATTCTTGCATGCAGTCAAAAAGAAGTTCATTTGAAAGCCTACACCGTGAGATAACTGGATTATTATAGCATTTTGCTGTATGATGATTAGTTTTACAACTCTACTTAATTAATCTTTTTGGAACGGGAACGAATTTCGAAGTTTCGGTTGACATTTCATTAGTTAACCCACCTACTGTAAACGCTAACTGAATGTGCTGGAAAATCGCCTCATAAATCTTACCATATAGAAATGTCTTGAAGTGCCTCATTAACACAAAGAAAATTGTTATGGTTCCCATTGAGCTTTATAGATGGCTTGTCTGTCTTCGCCTAGTGATTGGTTTAAGGTCATATTTATTTTTAACAGTAAGGTGGGCTTTCAGATATAATCCACGTTTAAGGTTTCCAATCAATTTTAAAGCGTGCTACTTACAACTAGGCGGTAACGTAAACACGCGCCTTTGCGTAAACAATTACCTCCGATTTTCTCCATAAATTTTCTAAAGATGTCGCCTTTTTACTAATTACGACAATAACAAAAACTAAATTTGATGTGAAGTTCAGTATTGTCAGCTGAGTATCTTATTGCTTTCTTGTTATGTTTAAACAATTATGTTCTTGGCAGGGAACTAGGTGTCAAGGAACTTCCAGCGCATACCAGGCTACAAAGACCTTGGTTTGCTGATACTGGAACAGCACACGGTTTCAAACCTTTTACCTAGAAGGGCAACACGTGGCCCTGCATTTAGACTGGGGCCTCATCCTTCGAGGTCCGGTAACCCAACAGTCATCGACTGAGGCGCAATACTCATAACAAACACACACAAACACAAACACTCCCTTTACATGCATGAGAGTGTTAGGGACTGCTTGAGAAGTGACCGTGACAGCCTGGCTTTCATCCCATCAGTCCGCCAATATAAACATCCACAAACAACTGGGTAGAATGCGTGGTCTGATTTGGGGCCTCAGTCGGCTGCCTTCAGAGCCACGGCGTTCGGCGCACCGTCTCCGTCTCAGACTCCGATCACACATGTATCAGGGGAACCGAATGGAGAAGGAGTCGAGACGCGCACTTGCCACTTGTGTGGGAGGTGGAAGTTGGGTGCTTGTGGTGGCTGATGATGATGTGCGGTGAGATGCAGGTGAGTGAGAATGTGATGGTGTGGTTTAGCTGGCGGTTGTCTACCGCAGGTTTTCGTGGACGCGCAAGTGGCCTAATGGACCCATGAGGTGAATAAATGTGCGACTGCAGTGCGGACAGTGGAGGCGGATGTGGCGAGTGCAGGTTGGTTCGCCAGTCTCTGTGCAGTGGATTCGCAGGTGACCGACCTGGCCGATGCGTGGGGTGAATGTACGGGGGTAGTGTAGATGTGAGATGTTGGCTGTGTCAGTATCAGCTCCGGTGATGGTGAGGATGGTGGTAGTGGGCACGCTGGACGACGGAGTGTGGGTTGGGCTGATCACGGTGACTATGCAGAATGTACTGGGCGTGATGGAGCTGGTGTCGATGGGCGCGCTGGGCGGCGGAGTGAGGACGGGACTAGACATGGCAGGTGTGCCGGATGTGTCGGGTCGCGGTCACTTCCTCTCTCGTGCATACGCACGTGGCCGAACAGAGCCATGCGGTGCATGAATGTGCGAGGGCAGTGTGGGCAGTAGAGACGGGTGTAGGATGGTGATCCAGGCACTGGTTCGCCAGTCTGTGTGCGGTAGATTCGTAAGTGACCGACCAGGCCGATGTGCGAGGTGAAGGTGCAATGAGGACAGGCATAGACCGGCTCCTCATTACCTGTGTTGACGGTGATAATGTTGGTGTTTGCTGATGTGTCACGATTGTGTGTAGTGTTAATGGACATGGCAGGCGCGAAAGTGGCAGCTCTTGAGTCGTTAGAAGTGGATGATGATGATGATGATGATGAGGAGGAGGAGGAGGAGGAGGAGGAGGATGAGGATGATGATGATGATGATGAGGATGATGATGATGATGATGATGATGGTGGCGGTTGGGGAGGGTGATCATCCTTAATTGACGGCATGGGAGGCGATGGAGAGGTGGACGGAGAGACGACGGTTGATGCAGTCCAGGCGCTGCAGCTGGCCCGCAATGTCCGTTAACATTGTGCACACGTTGAATTCGGTTTGGCGTTGGCTTGTGAGGCAGCCGCGGCGGCAGTTGAGATTTGCGTGTCTCGCATTTGGCTCTGGCGGCGGTGATGTGTTTTGCTTCGAAGACTGCTGTGCCTGTCTTCACTGTTCTTCTCCACGTTGGTCGCTCCCGGACGAGGTTTTCCCAGTTTGTCGGGTCGATTTGCAGTCGCTTCAGGGAGGTTTTCAGAGTATCCTTGAATCGTTGGATTTGACCTCCTTATTGACGTGAAACCGTCACAACATTTCCACAGAAGAGTCGTTTGGATTGCCCCTCGTCGTCCGTCCGTACAATGGCCGTTCCAGCACAGTTGTAGTTGTCTCAGCATAGTGTAGACGCTGATAATTTTGTCTGTTCCAGTACGTCTGTGTCTGGGATTCGGTGAAAGTGGTTGAGTCTACATGCCTGCATCATGTACATCATCCAAGTCTCTGCTCCATACAGCAAGGTCGGTAGGATGACAGCTTCGTTCTCGTTCACTCTGGTGCTGAGATGGAGACCGTGACGATTCCAAACTGTGTTTCGAAGACAACTGAAGGCTTTACTGGCTTTGGGAATCCGGCGGGCCGTTTCATCGTCGATTTTGGTGCTGCCCATATACGTGAAGTTTTCCACCACTTGCAGCTGGGCACCGTTCACGTTGGTTTAGGATGCGGCGTACGCTGTGTCGGGTGACGGTTGGTGCATGACCACCGTCTTCGCCGTGTTTATGATCGCACCGAAGTCCTCGCAGGCGCTGGAGAAGAGATATATGCTCCTTTGCATGTCTCGTTCAGTACTTACATTGAGGGAGCAGTCATCGTGGACGGCGGTTATAGATACGCGTGACTGGAAGCGCGTCCACTGCTGACTGGGGCGGTGGCCGTCCGTCCTGTAGGCGATGCAGATCCTGGGGCATTCTTCACGGTAGGCGTCCATCAGCATAGCGGTAAACATGAGACTAAAGAGGGTAGACGCGAGGACGCAACCCTGCTTCACTCCGTTTGTCACTGCGAATGCCTCTGAGACAGCTCCGTTGTTCGTGGCTCGCGCCGTTACGCCATCGCGGAGCTGACGCACCATCTGAGTAAATCGTTCGGGAAAGACGAACTTCTGCATGATTTTCACAGTCCGTCACAATTCATCGTGTTGAAGGCTTTTGTCAGATCCACGAGGGGTAGTGGAGGTAGGACCGCATCTCCTGACACTTCTCCAGTTGGCGGACGGCAACGATCATGTCGGTGGTCCCACGATGACGGCGGAAACCGCACTAGCTTACCGGCAGGAGACCTTGTTCCAGATGGTTGCTCAGACGGTTGATAAGGATGCGAGCAAAGACTTTCCGGGCGATGGTCAGTAAGGAGATTCCTCGATGGCTGTCGCAGATCTGACAATTACCTTTCTGCTTATAGGGATGACCGATTGTGGCGTCCTTGAAATCCCGCGGGAATCCTCCTTGGCGTCACATCTCCGTCACGGCGCCGTTAGATGATCCATGAGTTGGGGCCACCGTGCCTGTAGATCTCAGCAGGGATCGTGTCCGATATGAGCACTTTCCTGGTGGAGAGCTGCTGTACGGTCCTGATGGTTTCTTGGACAGAGGAAGGGAGGTCGTGGTCGGTGTTGGTCTATACATGAGGTAGACGGGCGACGGCGGCGTCGGGAATGATTGACGGGCGGCTGAGGAGGCTCTGATTTGTTCGGCCCATCGCCGTACAGTTTGTGTCTTCTCCTTGAATAGGGTACTGCCGTCGACGTTGAGAAGTGGTGCAGTTGCTTTAGTTGGTGGACTGTAGACAATTTTGATCGTGACGAAGAAGTTCTTTTATTTGTAGCGGTCTGCCCACCCTTAGCCCTCCTCGGTCTTGCGAGCCGTGCAGGCGTCCTGCATCTTGCGCAACCGTTGTGGCACAAGGCGGCGACTACACTAGAAAGCTGCTCTATTTTCGTTAGTCGGTCGGTCGACGTAGGCTTTTTTGCCGACGGTTCATCTCGGCGAGCAGGTTGCTGATGGCGGCGTCGTTGCCATCAAACCAGCCCTGGTGTTGTCGGTGTGCGCGACCGAGGATGGTCAGAGCCGTCGACTGGACTGTGTCCCTAAGTCCACGCCATAGGCTCTCCACAGAAGCGTTCTCGTCAGTGGTGGAAGCGGCAGCAGCGACTAGAAGGTAGGCTAACCGTTGAGCTAATTCATCGCTGAAATGGATATGGTGAGCAGGCAAATACAATAAAGCAATATTCAGCTTACCTGGGGGTCGCTCTCCTTGAAGCCTCCTACGAGGCTATAGGCGAATCCGCATCTTGGAGATGACGAGACGATTGTCAGTGTACCCGCTGTCACCCGGAATCGTATTTGTCACAAGCACGTCCCGCTGATCCCACCTCTGGACGAGGACATAGCCCAGTAGGTGCACAGGTCCCGACCGAGGGTTCATCCAGCTGGCCTTCTCTCACATCGGAAGGTGGTTTCATCTGTTGCTATTCTCAACGACCAACAGTCTTACAAATCCACGCCTTCCTCGCGAGTCAAATCGATGATTGGTCAAATAACCGGGCTCCTGAACCGACTCAAACGCAACAGTGCGATATCGCTAGACGAATGGCGACAGATGAAACCAACGGGCACGGTACTAGTCCAGTTTTATGGATTACCCAAAATTCACAAGCCAATGTTCCCCTTCGACCGAACGTTACCATGAAAGACAGCCCCACTTACAATCTATCCAAGTGGATGGCCCGAAAACTTAACTTTCTCCGAGAAGGCTCGAGGACCTCCATCAATTCGGCCTCCTAATTCCTGGCCGACATTCGAGGAAAAGCTGTCTGACCGGATTAGATTATCGTGTCCTTTGACATGGTTTCATTATTCACATCCATCCCACCGGACCTGGCACGCGACGTTCTTCACAAACGACTCGAAGAGCACTAAGACGAAACGAACAGGTCCCTAGAAATCGACCACTTACTGTAACTGTTTGCTTTCTGCCAACAAACCCTTTTCACCTTCAATGGCAGAACATACCAGCAGATCAAAGGAGCGCCAATATCCAGCCTGATTGCAGAAATATGTAGTCCTGCAGGAGTTGGAAAACGTGGCCTTCGACCACTATGAACCTGCATTTTGGCGCCGGTACGTGGAAAACACGTTTGTTATAATTGAAAAGAGCAGACTGGTCATCTATCAAGACCTGCTTAACGGCATCTTCCTGGGCATTCAGTTAACAAAGGAAGAATAGCATGCCGTACAGCTGTCTTTCCCTGACGTTCTCGTCACACGCACACCCAACGGCGAGCTCAACGCCACGGTGTGCAGAAAGGCGACTAACGCGACTCAGATTCTCAATTACCATAGTAACCACCCAATGGCGCATAAACGCAGCTGTGTTAGGACACGCTTCCAAAGGGTATAAACGCATTGCAGTGAGCCAGAGGGACGAGTACGAGGACAAACGGAGGAGAGCCGCCAATACTCTGGCACCCTCTACCATATATAAAGAACGGGTCCGAAGCGAGGGAACGTATCGCTGGAGAGCTCGGTGTGAGTATCGCTCACCGTCAAACAGCAGCCATGCGCAACCAAATCATGCGAATGAGGTGTCGGCTAGGCGTGGGAAAACTGTCGGGTGTCTTTTATCAGATCCCATGTCGGGACTGCCCTCGCCACCACACAAAACGGACCTGACGGCGACTTGGCTCACGAATAACGGAGCATAAGCGGACGGTCCGGAGAGGCGACCCGTTGTCTCAGGTCGCCACGCACGCCCTGGAGGAAGCTCTCGACCTACTAAGATAATTTGTAGCTTGCACAGAAAAGAAGAGATTTATCGCAGATTCCTTAAAGTGCTAGTTATCCAGCAGCTTTTTTGTCTAAAGCCTTACTGTGCTCTTAGTGTAAAGGGTACCCCTATAGGCGTTTGCTTCAAAATGGTTGTATAAGTGTAGTCGCGAGAGTGATACTTCATTTGGGTTTTGAAGTAGCCATACACTGTGACGCGTTTAATGAAAACAGCGAATAGGAGCAGATAAAATGAGGGACTGCATTAAATACAGTATGTGACCTAACGGACGAATGATTCATAATCACCCACAAAGCGGTAAAATGCATAAAGCCACTTGAAAAGGTATTTAAAAACATACAATATATACTAAAAATAATATTACGTAGTGTAGAAATGCCCACTTTCCAGAGAAGTTGAAAGTTCCGGGAAGGTCAGAAATGGTCGCAGTTTAGTAAACATCAGGTTTTGACACTCAGAAAGTCTATCTATGTCAGCGACTAAGAAAATGCGGCAGCACGAATAAAAAAGTGCTCGACAGTAGTCTTTTAGATAAGTTCGCATCTAAATATCCCTTCAAAATTAGTGTAATGCCAGGTATGCCGGTTTGCTAACAGCCCACATTCTGAGTATAGATTCCAAAACGATTTCCTAAGAATTCGTCGTCTATACTGCGATTTTATTGGTTGAGATGCGTTACAATAAGGCAAACAGGACCTTGTTTGATTTTGCAGACAAATGCACATAGGAAAGAAAGTTTTATAATATCACAGGTTACCAGGCCAAACGTTGCTAATAAATTTATGAATATTTGACATATGTATTTGTGCGCATATTATTTTGTGTATATAAAGAAAACTTTTCTTTCACTAAGTAAAATTGCACTTAACCTTTAATTAGCCTCACGCTGAAATCCGTATTGGTTTTGAAACATCGCTGGATACTTCAGGAATTTCAGTGTTTTCAAATGCCTGTCCATAAAGACAGATTTTGTTCTATGCATTCATTAAAATCTTCAGGTTAGTACACCTCATGAGGACGGTGAACGCAGGAGCGGATGGTAGGGTGTTATTTTTCATGTAAATGGTTGTTTGAGTCACATTTAAGGACTCACCTAGCGTGAAATCTCATCCTCGAAGAAAAATGAACGCCCGCAACAAAAGTCAACAGCGAATGTGTCGTCGACCAGTTATAAAAATTTTTTCAGTAAGTTGCCTTTTTAAGGAGTACTTAGCCACTGCATTCCACTGGCTAATGTCTGTGCACTTTACATTTTTACTCTTTTTTGTCTCCCTTTGGGATGAATCAGTCGACAGGCCATGTTTTCTCGGTATTCTTAAGCTCCATGTGACTGTCTTGTCCTGATCATTTCGTATTTAGTGACGTAGTGATTTTTGAAAATGTATAACGCTCGTGGTTACTCGAAAATAACCTGCGTCAGCAAACTGATTCCTACAATTAACATCAGACCAAAAAATCCACTTCCAAGTGCGACAGGCTCTGTTTGTTAAAACTCTCGAGGGAACCTTGTTCTCCCTTGAAAAAAACATATGCTCAAATACGCAATATTAGTGCATAAAATTGCTCAAATATACCACATAGTCCATGTTCGCTCAAATTTATGAACATTTTGCTTAATAAATTTGCGTAGATAGTTTCTGTACGAGGAAACGTGTTTAAGTGGAGGAGCTAGACGAGCATGCAAAATGCGCAAAGTTTAAGGCGTCCGACAATTTTCATACCGGGTTCCGTCGCAAAGTTTCGTGAGCTAGATCGCGTACCGTTTATCAAATTCTAACAAGTGTCTTATCTATCCCCAAGTTTGTTTCCAAAGACTGTAAATTACCTGCCGTGCACTTCGTTGCTGGAAGCCATGTTGCTGTTGTTGAATAGTTACTTTGAATAACTGGGTTATCTACTAAAGAAAGTTTCTGGATAAAAGGTCAGTCTTATTAATTAGTGAATTAACTACAGGAGAAATAGACCGTATGTAGCAAACAAACTTGTTATAGCATGAAGTTAAGCATAATTCTTGCGGCGGTTCCTAATAAGTTCGATTTATTTAATTTTAAGTAGTAGATGGGTTAATTTCAATTGCCAGTCCTGACTTATGAAAAACAGATTTGTTAGAATCAGAGGCTCAACAATGGATGTTTTGGAGGACTATAATTACTGTTATGATTTCCTGTTTCCATTTGAATGAACATTCTGTGAGTTAGAGGTTTAAAGAAGTCGGAAGTCTTAATAAAACAACCTACCATAGGTTAGCGCAGTTTTAACAGCTCTCCGTTTGTTTTTAGCCCTGCCTTAAAAGCAGAAAAAATGAAAACCAAACGCAAAGCCTTGTAAAAACTGCCTTTTCCCGGTAAATCAAATGTCTTTGATCCGGGACTTTTTTAAGCCCAGGGTAGAACTAGCAACTAGTCATTTGGGCGTACGCCAAAACTGCCATCATAACAACAAAATAATTTTATATACAATATGCAATTAACTTCCAAAATACAAACGAATGTTCGCAAACCTTCGAATCCAGGCTCCTGAAATGACCGGAGATGTAACTTCGATCAAACGGTGACTTGAGTGCTGTTTATGTTGCTTACAAATGTGTTATTATTTTCGAGTTTCCATAAATAACAATGCTCCCTTGCCTTTATTCGCACTTAACGATTATTCCTTGACTCGTTTTATTTGCCAGAACATGTTAGATATAAATACCGTGGATGGTTTATCTCAGGGAATGTCCTGTAGAACATTTCGGGCCGATACGCTTATTTGGGAAAATAGTCCTTGCATTACACTTTGTCACAGATTTTTTTACTAATGTTGAAAATAAGTGCGCATTACCCATGTCTTAGACCTCACGAGATAATGAAAATGGGCCACCCGTTATGAATACCCCTTAGTTATTTTTTGATACTCTATGCTTCTCAACACAGTAGGATTGCTTTTGTCAAATGCTCTTACAACTGCGTTATTTTGTATAAAAAAGCAATTATTTACAAGCCAGCACTTTCAGGACAGCTCCCACTCATCGTCTTTTGCTAATAATGTGGTTTTTAACAACTAATTTGAACTAAAATTTTGACTTTCTACTTCCAAAAGACATGACTTTAAGGCTTTCTTGATTGAAATAATGTCTTTACAGGATAGGATATGTGCAAACACGCGAACAGCATGAAAAAAATCTAGAATATAAGAAACTGCGGTATTTTACCCAAAATTTTTGCATTTTATTAAAATGAATTCAAGACAAAGTCTCCCTCCGAGCCAGTCCATCTACTTCTAAACATTGATTATTTGGCAAAAATAACAATACCCAACAAACTTTACAATGGTTGTTTATTTCATGACTTGCTTCACCTGATGTATGTTACGAGAAGAATTGACTGAAGGCGTAATTTCGCAATTCTGTGTCGATTTTATTCGCATTGGTGCCTTATATAATAGGGTATACGTTGCACCGAAGACTTGCCTTAACGATGATTTTTCGATAGTTACAAAGAGTTGCAGTGTCTAGTCATTATCGGAAAGATTCCCTTTATAAGATAGCAGTGAAGCTGTCAAAATGTTCCGCTATTACTTAAGTCTATTAGACATGGCTGACGACCCACTTTGATATAAGCAACTTCTGCTGTTTGCGTTCATTTAGGTTTTTTAATATTGATAGGATCCTACCTCTACTTAATAGACTCTTTAAAAGACGAGAACTCTTCATCATTAGGGTCTGGTGGGATTACTTCTCGGTATCCAGGGCTACCGCACGCAATGGATTGCCTCGCCTATGCAGGGACACCTATCTGAATTCCAATGCCAAGGCGCTCTCAAAAATACCCTCGAAGGCAGAGGAGACTGCGGCCAAACTGAGCTTTGCGTAACCTAGAATTCGAATCCGAATTCTCTGGTTATCGTACGTGTTTATTTCAGTATCTCTCCTTCCTGAATCAGTACTGATCTCCAGGCAACCATGTCTGAGGCTCTAACGGGTAACAGCGTGAGCATGACCTTAAACCGGTCGGCAAATGCTTTTTCAGCAATGACGGTTACCGCCCTCCTCTGCTAGAATGTCACGTGAACGAGGGGGAAGATGTGCGAAGATGTCAATATTTACTCTCCCTGTGTAAATATCACAGAATCGTTCGCACTCTACCTGCCCTCTCTTCTATGGCTTTTTTCGATTCAAAAGTTAATTGGAAAATGCATGTTTCAGCTAATTCGTCCGGCCATTACAATTACATGCAGAAGAGACTTATGGGCTACGAACAGAGTTTGCATGTATCTCAAGGGAAGGATTAGTCACGCTCGTAGTTTCCACTACTCCTGCATGACGGAATTATCCTTCTGAGGACGATGGAGTTATGGAGATGGGGAAGGGTAGGGTGTGAGCACCGTCTGCATGTCAAACACTCGGAATGCGTATGACTGTTCTCAGGGAGTTATGGCAGCGTGCGATCACCACCTGGAGTTGGCCAGGAAAGGCAGACCGCCTGTATCAACGTCGACCTACCGAATAGCCACTGCCGCGGCTGCTGTCACCACCTGTTTGCTAAGGCCAGGTAGAGAATTCGAAAGACTTCTTTGGCGTCGACTTGACAGTTTATCTCGAAAATTGAACTTGAGATCGAGTGAATTGCCCATTTTACTAAGCCAGTCAGATATGTGTTTAAGTGTTATCTTTTGTAGACGCCCCGTTGTACGGCCGATTGAATGCACTCCACAATAGCAGGTTATTGAACAAATGCACTTAAATATGGCCGGCAACGGCAGTCTGTCTTCATTTTCCAACTGTAGTAAGAGAGAGTTTGCGAAGAGAGACGTCTCTCTGGATAGCCATTTTTGCGGAGCATGTTCTGCAACTGATGCACCTCTGCTCCAACACCTTCAAGTCAACAGATTTGTCGCAGCTTAGCCGTCAATCCCCTGGACAAGATTTTGTTTTAGATCTAGGGGAACAATTTAATGGAAATTTATATATATTGTCAGTACCAACAAAGACAAGGGGTAATGACATTCTGCCTATATCATGCGCCGCTGTGCGGCTACTGGCTGAGCTGAAGGGAGAGTCCATAAGGCACAACGGAACAAGTGAGTTCCGTAAGAACGATCGGTGAGCGCCCCTACCATTGGAACTGAATGTATTGTCCAAACCAAGTTTTTCTTTCGTAATACTTTGCGTTGGATAGACTCATCCTCATGCTTGCTTAGAAGGATATCGGGGAACGTGATTCCGTTGTTTTAGTCTCTGTGGCAAATCACATAAAGGGGTGCGTCTTATTTAACTTATGAAATGGATAAACGATGTTGATGGTAGGACTTGTCAGGCAGAAGATATCGTCCTCTTACCGACCGCAGGAATAAAGATTATTTATGGTATCCTTGAGACTTGCTTGCTTGACCTTGCCCACGAAGTCATTTGTGAGAAATTGTACAAGCCGTGAATTCATCGCCACACCGTCATTTTGTTTGTATAAATAGTCCTTGCATACAAACAGGACATTGTGTGTGTCTCGCGTAGGCACTTCTTTTAAGTTTCAACTATAACTTCTGTCCGGTATTTTGCTTTCCGAACAAAGTCTTACATGTAGTTTATTGATCCCACTACGGAAACGTTAATGGACATTGATGAAACTGTTGACGCCAACATCGTCCGCAGTCGGCATTGCGTACTTCATGGTGGATTTTGCACCTACTAACTAGGCTTCGAATGTTGTCATGCTTTCCGGTATCTTAAATGTCGAAGGAAGTGCAAGACCTCGTATGCTGCTTTGTCGCCAGGAGTGGAAAGTCTATTCTTTCTATTGGTGCCAAAATATTTCGCGACGGCTCCTCAGCTGCGTCCTGTCGCTTCATAAGAGAGATAACGAGTGAGAAGAATACAACGGATTTGAATTCGTGCAGAAAATCAATGCGGAAACAGCAAGGTCAGGGTTTTGTTTAAAGCTGGCTAATCAATAAAGTTAGCAACTCAAACACCGTAGGCCAAGAAAATGAAGAAGGGGGGAACGCTTAAGAACAAAAAAGAGAGGAGAAAGGGAAAATCGTGGAGCTAGAGGCTACCATGACAATGCTAGGTTAACCACGTGTTCCAATTTTTTTCAAAGATCTGGTTTCACTCGTCATATATAGGCCGTTTCTGGGTAACGCAATGTCCGAGTTGTTCGTGCCCTAACAAGTACTCGGAAGGAAGTTTTGGGGTCGACGGAGTGACCACTATCAAAAACCCTGACCTTGCTGTTTCTGCATTGATTTTCTGCACGAATTCAAATCCGTTGTATTCTTCTCACTCGTTATCTCTCTCATGAAGCGACAGGACGCAGCTGAGAAGCCGTCGCAAAATTTTTTGGTACCAATAAATCCTGCCCTTCTTGCCTATTTCAGCTTCGTACCGGGGACAAAATGCTTTAAATATTCTTTCTATGACTTGTTTATACAGACCCTGCACTTGCAGTCGGTCACTTTTCTCCCAACGTAGGCAGCGCTGTAGGAATAAAATGAGACTTCACGGACAATTTGCTACGCTCTGTCATTTGCATAAACGTCCTCCTATTTCGTTGTCGGTCCCCGAATACTAACCCCGAACTTGTTAACACCGCAAATTAAGGAGGCCTGAAGGAGCAAAGTGATTGCTTTCGGTGTCTTTCCAATATACTGTCTGTTTTTATATTGTGTAATGATTTACCGTACTAACAACACAGATATTGGCTAACAACCCAGAAACGCGTGTTTCACCAAACTTACACCGTTGCTTGACGCAGTTGCGAGGGGTTCGGTTTGTTACTGGGTCTCCCAGCTTTCCCCGTGTGTTTTCTGATATATGAACTCCAGTTTCAACTTGCCTTGTTTAATTTCGGCGGAAATTAATGCGCGAATTTGGAGTA